CACTTTAAGTTAATTGATATGGATGATGTGTGTCAAGTTGTCGTGAAAGTAAAAGGAAAAGAGCAGAAGTGTGGAATGGAGTATACTCACGATGGGTCAACGTCTAACATGATTGCTCATCTGCGTTCAGTTTACAACATTGTAGATGATAGTAAATTGAAAGCCGAAATTCAACAAGCACGCCAAACTAAATTACCTGAAATAATCAAGGTTAATGCTCCACATAAAAATGCCAAATAATCAGAAAATAGCAAAGCAGTCATAGAATGGATCGTTCTTGATAGTCAGCCATTAAATGCATCACGAAAAAAAGGATTCCATTGAATGATGGAAGTAATTGACCCAAAATCTCGTCCTCCCTCTAATCGTTTAATAAAAAATGAAATAGCATTCAGTTATCAAAAAAATATCAGTGTTCTTCAAGATGAAATTGTATCTTCCTGTAAAACTGCTGCAATAACAGCTGATTTATGGACATCACGAAATAAGGAAGGTTACATAGGAATCACTTGTCACTGGATAGCCCCTAATTGGAAACTGCATAGCATAACAATTTGCTGCGAGAAAATGCCACATCCCCATACAGGTGATTCCATTTACCAATTTATTATCAAAAAATGTATTCAATTTAACCTTCAAGATAAAATTGCATATGCCATTACTGATAACGGTAAAGGCAATTCAAAAATGGAATTTTGTTGAGCAAATTCCATGTGCAGCACATACTTTGCAATTGACAGTCAATTTTGTCTTATGAAATATCCACCCACATGTAAAAAAAATAAAAAAGCTTGTTAAATTTTTTGATTCTCCAAAACAAAATAAAAAACTAGAAAAAGCCCAAATTGCCGTAGCAGAAAGAGATCATTTACTTATTTTTGAATCAATTGATACTGAAGTATATAGTGAAGATGAAGAACCCGGTGAAGTTGATAATGGAAATTTAATAGAGCAACCGAATGTAAATTTAGCTTTCCAAGCCCTTCGGCTGGTTAAAGATTGTCCCACCTGTTGGAATTCGAAATATCGATCATGGAAAAGACTAATAAAATTAAAGGATGCTATTATATAGTTAGAAGCTAATCTGAATATTTCACAAAATTTAGATGAAAGAAAAGATGGTCAAAAACTTAGACGTTACTTACCTAGTGAAGATGAATGGAAGTTGGTCAAAGAGCTAATAAAGATTTTTGAGCCATTTGATCAGGCGACCGAAGCATTTAGTGCTGAAAAATACCCAACTTTATCTGTTATGTATCCGGTTATTGAAGTTTTGAAATCTGAAT